GGACCACCCGATACCAGCTAGATACGACGCGAACGCCACCACCAGGATGGCCCCATAGACGTGGCCTTCGAGCCGGCCAAAGCCCCAAAGCACGGCCACACCGGTGGTGACGCCGAACAAGACGACGGCATAGATCTTCGCGCTCACATCGTACTGGACGACAACCTCCCTCTGAGCCAAGACGCCCAGTGAGAACGCACCGAGAACGTTCGCCACGCAGCTCCCCAGGACGTTCCCCAACGCGAGCTTAGGTTGGTGCTGGGCGACGGCGGCGATCACGACGGCGAGTTCTTCCCACTCGGCGCCGGCGGTGAGGAGCGACACGAGCGTCTCGGAGACGTGCAGACGGTGGGCGAGGCGGGCGGTGGAGGAGACGAAGACATCGGCCGAGACGCCCAGGGTGTAGACGCTGAGGAGGAACGTGCACAGAGGGAAGAGGGTCGAGTCAACTGAAGAAGAAGAAGAAGAGGCCCCCGTGATGGTCATCTTGTGAAGATCTGGGGGTTCTTGATCGCGGCTAGATCATGGCATAGCATGTCCGAGACCGTTTACGTTTACAGTTCTCAGTACATGTCTGCTCTCTTCTCATGGTGCATGGTGGTGATGGTCACGAGGGTGCTTTGATGTTTTTGTATGTTTGTTCTGTTTGCCTCGTTTGCCTCATCTCGGCAGATGACGTCACCTGTAGCAGGGCATAGCACCATGTCTGATATCTTCATACTTGAATGATTGATTTGACTGCGCGGTGAACCTCTCTAGTAGCGGGGTAATATCCATAGCCATATAAGGTGAGAGGTGAGCTAACAGGCCCTGTTGAAGCTGGGGCTATATCATCCCAATACTGACCTTTCACACCACAAGTCTCACATGCACCCCATTTGATCCAGATGGACGACGCTATTGCTATATACGAAGTGTTTGGTGCTCTATATTGGAACTTCTTTCCAACTCTGTCCGTCCCACATCATGCTCTCCCAACATTAGACGGCAGTCCGCGGGTATATCTACAGTATATCGATCAAACTGCGCGCCAACACCGCTGTTAATTATCGTACGGTCGCTACTAACTCCAATTCGTCCAAGGCTCTCCTTTTTTCTGAATATTCGGATATCTGGTACCTGGTGCTAGAGTTGTTATCATCAGTCGGCGCCACAAGTCAAGACACAAGACACAACCCACTCCTTAACAGGCGGACAGGCGGGGGCACTTACCACTCCACTCCACTCCACTCGACACCACAACCTCCCCCTCGAGGATAGCATGAACTCTTCCGTCCCCGTCGCCGCAAGGCCAACACACTCCCCCGGTGAACGGTAAAATGGTCCCTACAACTTAGCAGCCTGTTTCGCCCTCCTCCTCTCGAGCGCCTTCAGCTCCGCCCGCTTGATCTTGCCAGAAATGGTCTTGGGCAAGAAGGAGGCCTCGACGAACTCGATCCGCCGCGGGTACTTGTATGGCGCAGCGTTCTGCTTGCAAAAGTCCTGGATCTCCTTGACCAGCGCGTCGCTAGCCGCGCGGGATGCTTTAGCCTTGGCCGCGGCGGATTCGGTGAGTACGATGAAGGCTTTGACGACTTCGTCGCGTTGCGGGTCTGGAGAGGCCACGACGGCGGATTCGACCACCGCTGGGTGCAGCTTGAGGGTTGATTCGACCTCGAACGGGCCTGTGAGTAAAACAAGCAGTCAGTCAGTGAGGAGTTCGTTGTAGCGACTCGAGGGTGTCTTTGTTAATGTGGTTGACACCACACCGGAAAAAGGCCAGTGAGCTCTTTCCAGGTGGGAGGCGCAGGAAGTTCGCCTCCGCGGTAATTCCAGGCTCATATATATGAGTGAGATATGCTCCACCAGACCCCGCAGCGTCCCTGTGTGCTCAGCAAGAAAAAAGGGAAGCGTTCGAAAGAGACATGGTCGGACAACTCACCTATCCTGTATCCGCTTGAGTTGATCACATCGTCCGCTCGGCCCACGAACCAGAAATATCCATCCTCGTCTCTCGTCGCACGGTCGCCCGTGACAAAGAACTTCTTGCCATTGGGATACGTCTTGATCTTTGTGTCGAGCACCCCGGTAGACTTGTCGATGTATCCCTGGAAGAATCCGAAGAAATCTGAGTCGCTCCTCGTATTCGCCACCGCAATGCCAATGTCTCCTTCCGTTCCGGGTGCCACGGGATTTCCTTCGGGATCGATGATGGTCAGAGGCACGCCGGGGAGTGGCTTCCCCATACTGCCCGGCTTGACCTTGTTGACTTTCTGGTTCGCGCAGACGACGATCGTCTCGGTTTGTCCGTAGCCGTCGAAAATCTCGATGCCGCCCGTCATCTCCTTCCAGATGCGGACCACGCTCTCGTTGAGAGGCTCGCCTGCGCCGCAACAGTGGAGCAGTGCTTGTGGCGTGCCTTGTTCCGTGGCGAAAAAGCGCCGGCTCTCGTCAAGGACAAGTTGTCGGTACACCGTCGGCGGAGCGCAGAATGTCGTGATGGGGAAACGGTGCAATACCTCGATGGTCCGACGCGGATTGAAAGCCAACCTGTCATCGTGGATGAAGACTGTGGCGCCGCAATTCCACGTAGATAACCATGACCATGCAGCTTTAGCCCAACCTTGTTCCGAGAGGGCCCAGTATATCTTGCCGGGCGACAGATCCAGCCAGTGAATCCCGGTGAGGGCGTGCGCGAGGGGATATGATGTCTGCGTGTGCAGAACCATTTTTGGCGGCCCCGTGGTGCCGGAAGTAAAGAATATCATGCCAGGAGACTTTGGGCCTAGAGACCTGGGCACGGCAAATGTGGCGTCGAAGGGGATTTTGTTCAGTGCTGAATAGAAGTCAACGACCCCTGAAGGCGCTTTTCCATCTATTTGGATGATGGTGCGAAGATCGGCACAACCACCACGGACCTTGAGGCATTTGGCCACCGACGCGGCATCTCCGATGAACGCAGCAGCGCGAGAGACTTGGAGGCGGTACTCAATGTCCTTGTCCACCAACAGCGTCGTGCACGGGCACAAGATGACCCCAGAGCGGAGACAGGCTGTCGCAATCTCCCACCATTCAGGGACCCGTGGCGCGATGATGATGGCTATTTCGCCCTGCTTAATGCCCGAGGATGCCAAAAGGCATGCTATGCGTTGCGACTGGCGCGAGAAATGCCTGTAGGTCAGTCGCCGTACCACGCTGAGTGATTGATCGGTCCAGTAGAGGGCTACCAGCGAGGGATCCTTTTTAGCCCAATAGTCGACGACATCGCTGGCAAAGTTGAATGATTTAGGTAGACGTAGAGGCGAAACCGGGACAACGGAACTCATGTCCACCATGTTGCAGCAGGTGAATTTGCCCGAGCCGGTCAGTGTCGCTTTCCCATCTACCGTAGTCCGCAGTCCTCGTAGGAAAAGAGATCAGAACGTTCAAGGCAGCAAGCAGCAGAGCCCAGTATATATTGCTGTGTGATTGAGGTCAATCAGGACTTCACCCCGGAGGTGGCTGGAGGGAAGACGGAGGTGAAGGAGACGAGATATTGCAGACACGGACTACTGGGTCTTGGAGAAGGAAAAAAGGTGGAGACGATCCTCGACCATTAGGCCCCCTTGCTTGGCTTTATACCTGGGTTAGTCCTGGCCGTATCCTCTGGTGTCGTCAGATCGCCAGACCTGCTAAGACACATCGACCCGGGACAAGCTGGGTTCCCTTTACCAAATGGGGACGGCTACACCAGCAAACAGCAAAAAGCTGCCAAGTCTGAGCATGGAGATAGTGGGGCCTTGTAATGCGGGGTTCCGAATTTCGGGGCGTCGGAGGAATTCCGATGCCTCATGTTCCGTCCGAATGTCGTCCAGAACGACCTTGAACATTGGTTATCATTTGGTGGTCCGCTGTTGTGCATCGCACCGCTTGGCTGGGATACGAGGGTCGCTGATATATTCAATGCTCTAGATGGGCAGAGCTGGCCCGCCAAGCACCTCGAGATCCATCGTTGTGGCTTGCTGCTGACCAATAACAATGTTCAAGGCATGATTGGATATTAATACCGTGGAGGTACTTGTATGTGCCGAGGTGATCCCTAATCTTTCTTCTCCTGGCCACTGCCACCATAGGTATCGTGACAGCGCAAGTGAATCATAATGACGCCCGACTCTTCATCAGCGTCTGGGCTGTCCGTATATGGAAGCTCTTGCCCATCAGGACCTCATGTCTAGCGTACGCTGAATGCGGCAAGACCTGCGCTGAAGGACTTTTGATATACCATCATTCATTGCTGGCTCCATGACGAACAGATTCGCGCGGACAGCTTGGCGAATGACTGCGTTGGTGCCGGGCCGCGAAGACGAGAAACAAATCGGCTGGAAACCAAGACGAAAAAGGGGCTCATCCATTGATATTCATTTCCTACTTGCCAGAGCTTGCATACATGGTGTGAGACAAAAGGTTGGACGTTTGAACTCGACTTTGTGATTGTGATTAGGCAAAGCCAAGGTCCATGTGTTCAACCACTTCCCCGTCCTCTGACATTAAATTATCGACAAAAGATGCCTCCGGAATAGCAGTGGTCAGTCATTCCAGCAATCCAAAACTTTTGTGACCGGCCCTTCCCGCATATCTCCATGTCAATCTTCCTCATGCCCATGACCATGATCCCCACTCGCCCTGCGCGAGGTGCTAACGGTCGGTGATCCCCCTGGTGGCGCTACAGGGCTTTCTTTCGGTTTTCCCAATTCTCCCAAACGCCGTCGCATTGGTGGCCAGCCCGACCTATCTCAGCGCAATATGTGCCCCCATTCGGCCATTAATGTGGAACTCCACCTGCCATCATTTCACCATATTACGGACCTCCCATCCCACCGCGAGTCAGATTGACAAGAGAAGAAAATTCGTTCATCTGGGTATCACTGACAGAACACAAACCATGAAGCGGAAAGTAGAGCACTGCTCCACGCATCATACCCGAGAGCAAAACACTTGGTCGTTTACCTCTCCAAAAAGTGTTGTGGCTCGTGACCGGTGATTCATTCTTTAGGTTCTTGTGAGAGTCGTGGCTTCTTTGCAATGTGTCCTTGGTCGTTAATCTCTTGGAGCCTTCGCTGCAGCTCTTCAGCCTTGTGTTTCCATTCTTCGCGCTCTTGGATAGCCCTGTCCCGTTCCCGGCACAGATTCTGTTCGTTATCGTGATAGACCATGTTGATGACCTCCAACTCGGAGACTCGCGTGCGCAGGCGTGTGTTGAGGGCAGCTAGTTGTTCGTAACTCATGGACGATTCGGCATTTTGACTGTTGTGCATGGAGGCTGCGCTAGGAGAGGGTTGCGTGGCGTGTGGATTGAGAGATTGGTCGGTCGGTGATCCGTTGTTGTGATGGTTATAGTGCGAGTCCCCCGTGGCTGATATCCCATCGAAGACGTGTTGAGGAGCGATATTTGGGTCGTGATGACCCGCAGGGGTTCCGGTTCGTGATATGGGAGAATGCGATCTATCAGAGGCAACGGAAGCTGCCATCTGTGACACCCGTCGGTGAGGATTGATGCCGTTCGGGCTGTCGGTCTGGGGTGGCTGGTTCCCATTCTGGTCAAACTGCGCTACAGTGTCAGAAGCAGATCTAGCAGTCCGGACACTACAGAATATGACTGACCTTCTTCTTCGGACCTTGACTCGAGGTCTTGACTCGATTGCGACTCTTTATCACATCGGTCTTGAGGCTGATGGGTCGCGGGCGGCCATGCAACTTGAGGAACAAGCCGCAGGCATTGCAGAGGACAGATCCGGCTTCATCGCGGCGCCATAAGGGTGTCGTTGACGTTTGGCAGTTTTGACAAACAGGCTGCGTAAAGGGGGCATTCTGGTCAGCACCTGAGGATATTGAAGCAGCCATGATATTTTGGGTGGTGATCGAATCCCAGGAATCGCAGGTTTCGATAACGATAAGAAACCGAAGTTTAACCCCGTGACCGACCAACAGAAAAACCGGCGCCAGCCACAATGCAGCCTTGGCATCAATCCGCGCTTCGGGCTGAGACACCAGACGAACACAAGGTAACACAAAGAATGACACTTACTGGAGCATTGCCTGCAATCCCAGGCGTTGGCACAGGTGCCATTGTACCCGAATAACTCAATTGTGAACCATAGCTGCTGCCCGAAAATGATCTGTGGCCCGTGTGTCAGCTTTATGCCCGTCTTTTTTCCACTCCGCGTTTTCCAACGTTCCATCTTGGGCATACCTGACAGTTGGTGGTGGCGGTGGTGCAGCTGCTGCCAGGGATGTCAGTGCCGACAATCCTGGCAGTGCCGGTCGTGGTTCGGAGTGATAGTCCCGCCCGAGATTGAAGCTCACACTTCTCGCATGGAACTGTGGTTGATTGAAGAAATGACTGCCCGTGTACGGAAGATTGGTTGACGACGGACGCGAAATGTCCTTCCCTTGCAATGCCGGAGGCGGTAAAGGTGAGCTGCTTCGCTGTGGATCTCGTCTCAGAGAGCCATATTCTTCCAGCCTCGGGTCACTCAAGGGCGTTGATGGTTGGCGATAGATAGGGTCAAGGACTGAGGCCCGGAAGAGCGGGGGAGCAACTGCGGACGCCGTGATCAGTGGTGTTTGAGACCAAACCGTGGTCTCGTCGGAACTGGTTCAATGTGAAAGGGACGCCTGTGAAAAGCGACCGTGAGGGATTGAGGTTATATTTGGGTTCCAGCAGAAAGATGCAACAGGTATCTTGTTACAATGCGGTCAGCGACGACGATATATCAAAAGTTATAAAGACAGAGGATGTGTTATCGCAGGACTGAAAAGCACGTCTATCGATAGACGGGAACCTTGGAGTATTTTGCTTCACCCAATACAATCTCAGAGTCAGGGGTGGAGATCCCATATCGAGGGGATCCTGGTCCGCGAGGACAATATTGGTCCCGCCGAGAAGCCTAACAGTATGTCTAATTGCGCCTTGTCTTGACCGTAAACGCTTTTGTTGAGATGAGCTCTCCTCCAGGTCAGTGCAAAGGCCGCCGGACCAGGATCGGCAGAAAGTGTTACTCGTGTCTCGCTGTCCGTAGCACGAAAACCGGAGGCCTATTGTGTGAAATGCACAGTCTGGAGTAGTTCTTTCGAATCGAGCTTCATGCAGGCTCGGGGGCGACACACTCGTAGCAGAGCAGCGTGGCGCTGATTCGGCGCGTTAGCAAATCTGGGGAAAGGTGCAGGAGATTGTCCAATCTCACGGTGGAGGCACCGGCTTCCGAAGTGCCCCTTTTTCTCCTATCGCGCCTCCAGCCGCTTCCAAACAGCCAGTGCTCGAATTTGGACGAGGGTGAAATAGCCGCTCAAAGTCATTTCTGACGGACTGATGTGCAGACGGACATCAATAGCTCGTCAAAACTGCCTGCGGCCTGCAGGGCGATCTGAGAAAAGCTACCGCTCCACGACTCAAGATGCGCGGCTCGCCGGCCAGGGCGCCCAAATCAAGACCTTCTGGCGGCCACTACGAGGGTGAAACTCGATCCACTTTACAACTGCCATGCGTGTGGTACAGAAGGATCCAACCGTCTCCTATTGTGGTTCCTTGTCTGTTCTAGCAATGTCACGCGTCAAAGGAGAGAATAACTGTCGATCAAAGGCCCCGCAGTCCGAGATTAACGGCAACCCTTCGCGTAAGGTTCGATGATGGTTCCAACTGCTTGGACTGATAGGGTATGGTTGTGGCTGGTGAGCCCTGAATGCTCGTCTTCGGGCGCGTGGCTGATAAGGCGAGGGAGGATCGCGGAGCTTTAGGAGAAAGAAAATCGATATCCGGAGATCTAGCTATGTTATCTGGGACGATCCCACGGACATTAGCAGTCTGTACTGCAAGACGAGGGGCCGACGAGGTATAGGTCTGCGTCTAACGTCCGGTGGTATGCATTGTCGCCGTCGATCAGGACTTCACGGTAGTTCCAAAGGGGACATTGGGGACTTTTAGAGACGGGAATTAGTAGCTGTCATGGCTTGCGATCTAGACAATGGATTGCCTGTTATTACTTAGCTGCACAATGTTGCCCTTCCCCTCCAACAGGGCAGCAGAAGATAGAATGCCGTCACAAGGAAGAGTAGGCATCCGAGTACATAGTCGTTACGGTTGAGTGCCCAATAATTCCACCGAGGACCTCTGTACCGAGTACAAGTAAAATAATAATGCAAAGGCTGCACAAAATGATTGGCGCAGTCACCGTACCCTATCCTACCAAGCCTACCTAAGCACTTTGTTCGTCAAACAAATCCGGCTCACCACCTCCGCGTTTCTGGCCCTTTCAAACCAAGTTTCGAGGAACGTGGCTCGAAGAATCATTATATGCCGACCGCTCGAGCGCCTGTGGTACCGATAAAACTTTGCCCATAGCATCGCAGCCGTCAGCATGTGAGAGTCTTCGTCGTACCATCCACACCTTGTCCTCGTCTCCCTCTTCTGCTGGGAGGTGACAACAAATAATGCCTCGACAGCGACCGACCTCTGGCTACGCTCGCCTGGCGCAGGCCGATGAGGATGACGGCCCGTTGGGAGACGAAGATTCCGGAGACGAGATATACTCATCCTCACCCCTCACAACCCGGTATGCCTCGATTCAACCGGGTCCGCGAGAGTCGATGCGCTCCGGCGCTCACCACGATCATCGCAGACGTTCCATGAGGCGAGTACGAAGCAACTCCTCGGGCGTGGACATTAAAGCCATCAACGCACGGCTGGAGAGATGGGCAGAAGAGATCGCATCCAAATTCAAAATCAGCTCCGTCAAGGGCAAGACTCAAGAGGAGGAACAACTTGAGATACACCATTCTGTCTTCCAGGCTCCCCCCGGCGTACACCCTTACACCGCCGCCGATCTGGCTGCTTATACTGCTGCCGAAACACAAAGAATGACCAAACAACAATTCGAGGACATTGTGGAAAGTGTCAGAGTCGCGATAGAGGTTGGGACACATCCCAAAATGATTTCGCAAGGTAGCTCAGGCAGCTATTTCGCCCGCAACAGTGAAGGCAAAGTTGTTGGTGTCTTCAAACCCAAGGATGAAGAGCCGTATGCCTCGAGGAACCCCAAGTGGACAAAATGGCTGCACAGAAATCTCCTGCCTTTCGCCTTTGGGCGAGCGTGCCTGATCCCCAATCTGTCCTATGTGTCCGAGGCTGCGGCATATGTTTTGGATTCCCAGTTGAGGACGTATATTGTTCCCTATACCGATGTCGTCTGGCTATCCTCCAAGGTCTTCTATTACGACTTCTGGGAAAGGAGAAGCACCTGGGGTGGGAAGAAAAGTCTACCAGAAAAGCCTGGTAGTTTTCAGGTCTTCTTGAAAGGATTCAGAGATGCCAATCTTTTCCTGCGCGAGAACCCCTGGCCGGACCAAGCTACCGAATTCCGAGCGGATATGGAACACACACGAAAGAGAAGGCCCTTGAGCCATTGTCTTCCTGGCAGCCGAGGCTCTGACGACGAGGACGAGGACGAAGAAGCCCCTCGAGTAGTCTCCCCTCCGCCATCAGAGGAGGCGCCCAAGTTTCATTGGACGCCTACCATACGGCAGGCGTTCCGGGAGGAACTGGAGAAGTTGGTCATTCTTGATTACATCATGCGTAACACTGACAGAGGCCTCGACAACTGGATGATCAAAATCGACTGGAAGAAGGAAGAAGTCTCGATCGTGGCCGAGCCGCCCAGACAGAACGGCACCCCAGAGAACGGGGATGCTCACCTGCGACCGGCATCAGTAAGCCCCAACATCCATCCGCAACGACCAGAGTCGAACACTTCAAGGCCATACAAACGGTATGAGGCGATGGAGAGTCGATCAGGAACCCCTTCGAATGCCCAGGAGATGCAGTGTTCCATCACCATCGGAGCCATTGACAATAGTTTGTCATGGCCCTGGAAACATCCAGATGCTGTATGTATATCTATGACTCACCCATGGCTTATGCTAACCCATGTTCCAGTGGCGAAGTTTTCCATTCGGTTGGCTGTTCTTGCCCGTCTCTTTGATCGGACAACCATTTTCAAAGAGAACTCGTGAACATTTCCTCCCTCTCCTGACATCAACCGCATGGTGGAGCGAAACCCAACTCGCTCTACGGAGGGTTTTTTCACTGGATGCCGATTTCAAGGAAAGCATGTTTGCCCGTCAAATTGCGGTGATGAAGGGCCAAGCCTGGAACGTCGTGGAGACCTTGAAGCAGGAGGATCACGGTCCTCTGGAGCTAACCAGGCGAGCCAGAGTATGTGTCTGGGACGACCTGGTAGATGTTCCTGTGGCGATACCAATGCGCGTGCCGTCTACCGAGATGAACCGCCGCGCAGCACGCCAGTACCAGCAACAAGAAGAGATGGACATCGGGGCATCTTACGCTTCTGCCCCGCCTGGCAGACATCCAGCACCGCAATACGATCTCCTCGGCTCTCCGACAAACGAGTTACCCAATCCAAATCGCTTCGACCTCACCCGAGAGGACAGCGCGGCAGATCTTGGCTATCTGCCTGGTCCCGGCGACGATGGTGGATTTGGTGGTACTACTCCTGGTTTTGATAGTCTGGAATTTGCTCGAGAAGCTCGCAGCAGTCTTGGTCATCATCCAAATGCTCACACACTTCCCACTCGTCCTTCTGCGAAGGGCAAGACACGCTTCAGCTTCGAATTCCCCCGTCGTATTGGCGATGGTGCTTCGGCCAGCAATACCGTCTCCTCGAAAAACAGCTCCACGCGAAGGCAACGGTCGATGTCAACAAGGAGTGGCCACGGGGGACACAAAGCCAAAACCGTCCCGAGCATCGTTTACGAGGGCGATGATGTCGATGAGGGAGATCTAGGATATGCCGCAGCAAGTGATATGGACTCGACACACCGACGGAAAG